TCTTGCATCAGGAGGAAGCGACAAGTTCCGCAAACGTTGCACTGCCAACTCTGCTAGGCCGCCAGCCAAAAGTACACCTGTCCTCCCAATCATCGGGCAAGGGCCTGGGCCCAGATCAGTGTCATCTGGAAGAAGCACTCGATCTGATGTAGCTTCTATGATTGGTTGGGACTCCACCTCCAATTGGCTGGAAGAAGAAGCAGTTGCAATGTCGCTGGCACTGTTGCAACGGTGTTGGAAGCTCCTGCTACTGCTTGCGCTGCCCTTGGCTTTGCCCTGGCCCATTTTTTTTGGCTTCGGTTTACACTCCAAAGCATGGCATGGGCAGTGATGTATTGTAGAGCTAAACCAATGGCCCCAGGATGCAAGGACTCTGGCCAGTCCTGCTGTTGCCCAGAAGACAGCAGAATCTTTGCTGCCTTCGACCGACAACAAGCCCAAAAGTTGAGTCTCCCTGGTTGTGAGCAGGTCGTAAATGTTCTGCCCCGGACCGTGAGCCTCATTCTCAGTGGGATCGGTTGACAAGTCCAGCATCTTCATCAGAATCATAAGCGCTTGTTTTCGAGTCATGATCCATTCCAGCGTCTCAAACAAATATTCCCATCGGTGCTCAACGAATCTCGGACAGATGAACTTGAACAAAGAGTGGAACTGGTGCCTCCATTCCTAGCAAGGGTGGCTGGGTGGCAGCCCAACATGTGTTGCAACTAACTTAGACTTCAAGTTGAAGGATTCAGAATCTGGAATGGAGTCGGAGTCAGAAGTCAAGTCAGGGTCCACGTTCGCAAGTGTCCCATATTCCACCCTGCCCTGCCTGGGGCAAATTCTGGTTTGAATCAATGCACACTGCCCGAAATCGCCCGAGTCGGTGGTAACTCCCGAAAGCTTTTGAGACACCAGAGAGAGTATCGCGAAACGTTTGCCACTGGCTGAACGCTGAAGACAACTCTGACATAATCTGGGCAGACCGGCAAACTCACTCACAAGTCCAGTCCAAAATCCATGAGTCAAAAATATCAAAAACTGTTAAATGTTCAGTTCAATGTTTAATGTGTCGTGTGCTTATTTCTCCTGGTCTGAGTCTGGTCCAAGTCCGAGTCCTTGTCCTCTACTACTTTACCATTGCTTGGGTCCGGTACCGGTCTCCGCCACAAAAACATCAACATCTCCATCCGCCACTGTGACTGGTTACTGGTTGACCAAAAACAAGGAGCGGGTAGGTCGGCCTCGGCCTGGCTGAAAGAAACATGATTACAATTCATAAATGATGAAATAAGGCAAGGCACATGGTGAATGCTGTGGTCGCAATCGGCTATAGGCATTGCTTTTCCAAAAAGACGATGTAAAGCAGATTGCAGGCCAGTGTCCACAGCAGCGTCAGAAAAATCAGCATCAGGGGCAGAATGGGAATGGTGATGGGAAAATGCATCGATGCTAGAGGCGGGCACGTTGATCATTCCCCCTTCTGCACCAAAGTCGGATAGCAAAGAAAATGTTCTCTGGATTGAAAATTGAACGCTCTCTGACTCCAGTGAAAGAGCATGAACCAGTTGCTGAGCCTTGTGCACTGTGCTGGAAGCACGTTGCCCAAGAATGCTAGCAGGCAGAATGCGTTTCACGATGCTCAATTGCTGGCGCTGCAACAGCCATGTAACATGCTTGTGCGAAATTTGGCCAGCCATTTTCACCAGGTCATATTCACTGAGGAACCAATCCCTTCCTCCCTGGGGAGATGAATCCGCTCTCAAGTGGATTGCCCACGTAGATTTGCTGGTAAGAATAGTGCGCTGAGCAAAGATCAAAGTGGCCAAATCCAGCTCCACGCGTGCTCGGCACAAGGCAGCTGGCCCGGGTATTTGAAGCTTGACGTTATCCTGACTGCATCCAATTGACCGACCAAATTCAAAAGACCAAAGGGGAGTCAGTAGTCAGCGACTCAGACTGACTCACCAAAGTTTCAATGTCCTAGACCTAGTCCTGGCCTCTACCTGCCTGCCTCCCTGCCTGCCAACGGCAACACTCCACTATCTAAGTGTCTCAGCAGTGACAGCCACAGCCACAGCTATGGTTTATGAGCCCACGCTAAGAGTCTACATGTCCAGTCCTTGCCATTTGCGAGGTGGGAGAAGAGGTCTGGATGCAGGGTAGCTGCCAGCGACCTCATAAAACAACTTCAAACTTCAAAGGCAAGACTACTCTCTCGTCTCAGACAATCTGGGTTCAGACAGACTTTAGACACGGTCAAGAAGGGATTGAGACTAGCCAGGTGGCCAGACTGGGGGAGGATATCTGCCAAGAGAAATCAACCAACGTCCAAGTCCAATGTCCACAATGAAAATGACTCCGAATATTGTTATTCGAGCCGGAAGTATATGGAAACTTCAACTTCTGGTTAAATCTGCCGAGTAGTAGTATATAGTAGTAGTAGTAGTAGTAGTCTCATCTCTTGTTTAAAACATCAAGTCAAGTCTAGCTACACTCAGGGTCACTCAATCACTCAACACTAGATTTCAATATTCTATGCAGTTTGCACTCTGCTCCAGCTCAGCGGGCGGGCTGAGAGCACCACGTGTTCATGGCAACGCTCATGTCTGCTGGATCCTTCCTCAGAAGAAGTGGAACTGAGCTGAACTGAACTACTGACTTGTCTTGTCCGTCTTGTTACGGATAAACAGTGAACGCCCCCAGCATTCCCAAGTCTTTGCTGACACAGTTGACACATTGAATTTAAACATGACCTTGATTCATCATTTCATCAAGGGCCAAAAACCAACACCAACAACAACAACAGCAACAACAACAAAAACCAACAACAACAACAACAACAACAACAACAACAACCGGTGAATGGGTTGCGACGTGACGCGAATGTTGAACTCAGACTCTGGCTCCGGTTGGCTTTTGACTGTTTTTCCCATCAGCAGGACTCAGCAGGAGTTGTTTGCCTTTGGCCGATTGAAGTTTAACACGTTTATTTGGTTTAAATCAGTGCAGCTGAGTATCAAGGTGTCGGCTAGAAGGACGATCTGAAGCATATACTCAGGCTTGTACGACACCCCCCCAGGCTTCTTGCCAGCAGCCTGGCTACTGGGATCACTAGAGGTTGCTAAGGTTCTTGATCTTGATTGCAGAGCCTGGGCTTTGCCAACTGAACAAATTTCCTGGATTTTGTCACAGCGATCACAGACCAAATCTGCATTGCCTTCCTTAGCACCCTGCTTGATTTGTTCCAACAATCTATCCAAAGTTGATTGAACCAACGGGTCTGCCAAAAGCCCACTGTTTGTCTTCGTTGGCATGCTTTGGGCGGTGGAGCTCATAGCATGCCTCAGTTACAGTAGCAGTAGCATTCAAGTTCAAGTTCGACTGTGCGGCTTGGGAGGTCCAGTCCAGTTACAAAGCTTAAGGTATATATTATATTTGTATATACTCTAGACTCTATACTACACAATCCTATTGCCACTACAACGACAAAGGCAAACAAGACCCGACGAAGCGTTCGGAAGCATCACAACAAACAACAAACAATCAGTCCCCGAAAAAAATGAAATCGAATTGAATCTTGCTCTGGCAGGGGACCTCCAGTGCCAGTACTTCAAGCCAGATGAACTGGATGAACCATCTTGGTTTAGGTTTGGGTAAGCACCCAAAAGCTCCGCTAAAGTAAAGATTGTTCCACAATCAGAAGGGTGCCTTGATTCATCGCAATGTATGGCAGGTGCAGTCTCCAGAATGACCTGGACGTCTGCCTCTGATAATGCCGCAAGATGCCGCAACCCCCGTGAAGACCGCCTGGTTGATCCAACAGTAGGAACGAGCCTTCCCTTCATCTGGAACCCGCTGGAACCGATAGAATCTGCATAGATGTACACCTCTGCCTAAGCTAAACAGGAGAGGTGACTATGACACGCGCGCCGCGCTACCACCACAACTCAGACTCCGCCCAACCTTGGGGATTGGAAATCAGCAGCAAGGTGTCACGGTGTCCGGTGTCCTGATGTATGTTCAAGAACATGTTCCACCTCACTGACGCCGTTCTGTTCTATGTCATGACAGGGGTGAAACCCACACCTGTACCGTACCATGGACAATGGACAATGCAGAAATTACCCCCAAAAGAGAAATGCCCAGTCCAAGTCCCAATTCCCAAGTTCTTCCAAGTCGTCCGTCGTGTTCATTTCATCAAAGAAACAAACTTCAGTGTCGAAGTTGATGATGCCATCACAAAACACCAAATGTTTCCGCCTGGAAGTTCAAAAGCTGCCCTTGTGTGCTTCGTTGATTTGGTTGTTGCTCGAGATTCTCCCAAACGGTTTCTGTCACCACTGGAGCCAATGCTGGCACTACCAATTATTTGAACATCTTCTTCGCCGTCGCTCGCCACAGCCTCCATTCCATGGGCTAGTGACTACTAGTGACCTAGTGGCGACAGCTTGAGCCTTTCTTGAACCCTCATACTAGCGGGCGGCCAGGCCAGCCTAGTTTTCGTCTCACAAGCAAATACAGCACCTGCAAGAAGCCAGTGAGCTGAGCCCTGGCCAACCACTGCCCAAACCCAAACAATTGATTTCTGAGTGGTACAGTTTAGGGTGCAAAACTTCCGTGTTACGGACTTTCATCAGCTCTAGCTCTAGTTAGCTCTAGTTCCAGTCAGCTTTAGCTCCAGTCATAGTTAGCTCTAGTTCCAGTCAGCTCTCTAGCTCCAGGTAGCTCTAGCTCTAGTCAGCTTTAGCTCCAGTCAGCTCTAGCTTTAGTTGGCTCTAACTCCAGTTCTAGCTCTGGTTCGCTTTAGCTCCAGGTGGATCTCCCTCTAGTTAGCTCTAGCTCCACTCTTCAACATGCATTTTGGAAGCACCTTTATTTTGCAGTTATTTTTCCTGGTATGCATTTTAGAAAGCACACATGTTCTGGATGGCAAGTCCAAATCCTTAAGATGGCTCACGAAAAAGTATAATCTGAAAACCCCAAAAGTGATCTTTCGTTTCAGCTCAGCTTCACCTCTAGAGCTTGGACTTGTTGCCCTGTCGGATGGCCAGGTCCAACAAGATCTCCTCAGATCCTCCTGGGATGGCATAGGCGCCCACATCGCGGTATAAGCGCTCCGCCTGCCGGAACGAGCGGCGTGCGGCGCGGATGGAAAAAAAGGGCTTCCGGAGCGCCACGTTGACGGATCTTTATTCTTTCAGCAAGGGTTGTTTGACGTCGACTCCTGTACCTGGACCCTCCAACAGGTGTGTCCTGGTGACAACAGGTGCCCAGAAACCACCTGTTAGGGTCTCCCAACAGCCTGTTGGAGGGTCCTGGTATGAACATAGAAGTTTTTGGTTTAAGTTTCAAGAGATCCAATCCTTCCTTCATTTTCCAGCTCAGCCTCATGTCATCATGTTCTTGAAGATGGTACCATGAGTGGGGCCACAATCAGAACGGTTTACAGTGAGTGAATGTGTGGTTCAAAGTGGTCTCATCCACATTCCTTGCGACCACTTTGAGCATTCCTCAGCGATAGGTCTCCCACTCCCAATGCCCATGCGTTCTCGCCGAAAACAAGAGATACAAACACTTGGAATTAGAGTTCCCAGCGTTCTCGCACTGAAAACAACCATCAATCCCCTAAAATGCCCTGCTGACTGGACAGAAATTCACCACACACCGTCACCACAGTCTTCCGCGCCACCCACCGCCCAAGTGCCCCTTTCGAAGTGCCCCTGGTCTTTCACCGGATCTGGTTCTTCCTCGGGTCCGCCTTCTCGCCCAAGCCGGAACGCGTGTAGGCATTGCCGCCGAAGATCTGTCGCGCCTCCCGAGCGCAGTACTCCATGACCTGCGATCCGGACCGGGTGGAGACCGTGGTGCGATGGTGCGAGGCGAGGCGGGACATGGGAAGTAGCCAAAGCGAAGTAAGCGAGCAAAGCGGGCCTTTTGGCGGCAAGCACCAGCAAACATGAAGAACAAACTGGCTCGACAAATGTTCAAAACAACTGTTCTTTGAGTCGCTCGACTGCTTTGCTGGCAGCTGTAGACGAAGGCCTCAAGAACGGTCAAATCCCCAAAAGAGCTGGCTCAGGGACAGTTGTCCTGTAGCTAGCAGAAATGCACGCAACAAGGACGCTACTAGGTGGAGTCCATCGCTCTTAGGTTGGAAGCCATTAGCACTACTAGCTAGAAGCTAGATGGAGGCCATTGCTAAAGGCCATTACTACTAGTACGCTAGAAGCTACTAGTATAGCTATGCTATATTGCTACTGCCTTGGAGGAGCCAACACCATTTGTACCAACGCACCCCGACCTTCCCTCGACTCGGCTATAGCCGGGACTCGGCCGGGACTCGGCCACCCGCAGCCCGGTGGGGGACCCCCCACGGGCCCTGCCCCAGACACTCCCCCCGCACAAAACACTACAATTGCAAGACCAAAACAAGGCGAAGAAAGCACAACAAAAACTCACTTGGCGCCGAGAGAAATCCGTTCTGCCGGGATCTGCCTTGGAAGAGTGTGCCTTCATCAAAGCAATGGGACCACCCAGTGTGGTCATCGCCTCTCGTCCACTCGAGCAGTTGATCTAAGAAGAACGGCAGGCAACTCTGGCATCACTTGGCAGTGGTTTCTTCTGGGATGTTCATCCAATTTTCAGGCTGGTGCCAGTGCCAGCTGATAACATTGGCGTTCATGCTGGTTGATACGTCTGATACGTGAATGTCTGGTGATCATTCCGTGACTTGTCCGAAGGGTGTCACGCAGGTTTCTTTTGGTAGCAATTACAAACTGGCATTCACCAGGTGTATAATACATTGGTTGACGAAGTGGCCGTAGGTCGTAGATCGCACAAGCTACACAATTTATAGAGAAACTTATAATATAAGAGGTGCGGGATCGCTGCAATTGCCGTTGCAACTACCATGGTACATTCTTTGTATGGTGCTCATGAATTGAATAACCCCTACACTCCATATGCCTACATTGAGGGGGTCAATATTATACGGCATAAAAATTGCATATACATGGCATATACATGGAGCATAAACGGGTAAGTTCACACCCGGCCGACGTCGGTGTTCACCTCACATCCGAGACCACACCGAGATCTCTCGACGACATGGGCCGATCCTGGTCCTTGGGCATCATGCCTTGCTGCAGCGTGACGGACGCTGCACGACGCTGCAGCGGAAAAAAAGATTGGGTCTAGAGTCTAGGAAGTCTAGGACAAGTCCATCACGGCTAGATATGGCTAGTGCTCTTGGCAAGTGTTGATTGAAAGAGCCACATAATGCTCTTGGCAACTTGGCTTGGCTGCTCAGAACTGCTCAGTCCCTTTGGACGAAGGACAGCCACGGTGGCCGTGGTTTTCGTCTTAAACACCTTCGATCGCTGGAGAAAAACATGTTCAAACGCACCAACTTTTCGGAACCCGCCACAACAACGTCGACAAAGCCAAGTGCGGTTCTGCCCACCGCAAACAAGACTCGATCAAAGCCCAGCTGCACAGCTGGAAGGTCATGTTCTCCAACCAGTGATGAAGAGCTTCAACCTGTCAGGTCGAGCACGGAATAAGAAAACACATTGTTCAGTCTAGAAGAGCCCTGGACTGCCAATAGGTGTAGCCTAGGAGCTGTGCCCCCTCCACACCTCGACACACTCATGGTGACGTGGATTTCAGAAGATTTCATGGTCATCTATGGAACCATGCCATCCACTTGGATTGCTGGCAGTGTAGGCAATGCCTACATCGTTGCCGAAATGGATGCCGAAATGGACATGATGAGGCTTACAATTCATGACCCGCCACCTCTCTACGGGTTCTGCCAAAGCCCCGAAGATCCTCCAGAAAAATGCATTATATACTTGCTCCACGGAGAGAACAAACTTTGGCTGCCAACAGGCATCCAGGGAAGTCCGGAATTCCTCGATGGCTACTCTTCTCCATTTAAGTTGCCCCACCCCCCAAAAGACGTATCCCGACTCCATCAGCTTGATGCACCTTACCACTGACTGCTGCATCCCCTCCCCCCATCTCCCCATCTACTCCTGCCTGGCGTGTCATCTCAGCCAGCTTCCAGCGGATCACCGGATGTTCGATCAGCTTCTTTCCGAAGGTCGCGCGCTTGTTTGAGAAGGCCCAGCTCTCTTCGATCAGCACGCGGCTCAGGCGATTCGCCTCAAAACCGGCGAATGGGGTGAGTGGCCGTCACCCAGGTCAAGCTCAGAACACCTTTATAGTGGATTGAGAGGACCAATGGCACAGACCCCAAGGTCGGTGGTTTATATGGACCCCCGTCTGTTCAGGACATCTTGGGGTCTGTGCCATCTACTCTGAAATCACTGTAAATCAGCGGTCAGCTCCTTCTGACTCGCGCTGGCCTTTTTCTGTGGCCGCCTTGTCTGCCGTCAATTCCGGCATGTTCAGGCGGTCAACGCCCGAAAAATGAACTCTGAAATCCGATCATGTCCGAGAGTTGTATTTTTTCTTGCGGAGTAGCAAGCAAACGCATATATGTCGCCATCCACCAGGTCACCTGCATTTTAGCACCCATGGGCAAGCTGATGTCATGAATATGCCTATGCCTCTATAGCTGGTTTGAGGCCATGAGACCTGGACAGTGAAGCCCCAGCGCTCATGGTTGAAGTTCTTCATGATCACCTGGCCGTGATTGGCACGCGTGTCGCAGCGCAAAAGTGCGTTTTTTGCCACGGAAAACCGCGTGGAGCCTCCCTCCGTTCCACGCGTTTTTCGGAGCCAGGAATTCAAGACTGCCGCGTCCGTCCGAGTTTTTTTTTTCAATCTTGATATGTCAATCAATCACAGGAACCCACTTGGGAAGGACTCAAAAGAAGCCCAGCACAAAGGGAATCCTTCAAAATATAAATATATCCCCAAGATTCAAGATCATGGTCTCATTTTCAGGTAGAAACCCGAAGGCTCAATATAGGTCTTTCTTGGATCCGTGGGCGACGAGACTGCCATGACTCAGGCATTTACAGGCTTATTGGAGTGCGCTTTCACATATAGTGGCCCCCAAACAGATAGAACATAGTAGATCCCCACGAACAATCTATTGGAAACCGTTATCGATAAAATATCGACTATATTCAACAAAGCTGCACACTAATCCCTTGTTTGATCAGCATCCCTGCCAAGTGCACTGGTCATGTTATAAGCGTCTTCCATCTGTGACCCTCTACCTGTGCGGACAACATCCAAAAAGGACATCAAGCTTAGACTGTAGGAATCTCTAGGACCTAGGACTCTTATAAGGCATGCAAAGGGCAACCAACACCTTTTTTCCTACAGTTCAGCGAAGTTCAGCCACATCCATCTTCCAGACTCACCAGGCTCAGCACTGTCGGGCACTGTCGGGCCTTGAATCCCTCGTTCTCCTTGCCGATGAGGTTGGCCGCCGGCACCTTCACATTGTCCAGCTCCACGTAGGTGGTGCCACTGGGCCAAACACCTGCGAGACAATTCTGCGTGGGCGGTGGGGGAAAGAGAAGAATCATGCGGAAAAAAAACAGATCCATTGGCAGAAGGAATGAAACAAACAAAAATAAGACAAATACAAATACATGAACAATACCTTGGATGAGGGAACTTGGAGCCCCAAATGTGTTTCTTAATCTAAAAAGTTGCCTCGATTTGTACTGTGGACTGACTGACTTCCCAAAGTTTGGAAGGTCATCAAAAGACTGTTGACAAAACTGTGTCATCAAACATCATCAAACCACGGACTGGTGTTAAGTCATCAAAACGTTGATGAGTCTGGAAGGTCTGGGGTTTTAACAGCGAAAACACCAGCATTGCAGCATGGCACAACAGGAGGCCCAGTGGCTCGCGGACTTTTCTCCGTGTGATCTCGTTGCCTTGAGCTTTAACATGCTGCCGCACATTCACTGACTTCACATGGTTCTTAAGTAGCACACAAGGCTTCAGCAATAAAGGCCCAAGGAAGTTGGGCTAGCAACATGTAGCAACCACCTTGATTGTATGAGAACCCTTGCACATGTGGTGCAAACATTGCTTCAATAGCATCCAATGATATCCAATGGCTCTTGGTTGCCGTTGCAACCGGAAGACTTGCTAGTCCCATATATATCCGTGGACATGGATCACCTACCCACACACCAGCCATTCCGCTTCGGAATGGTTCTCAGTCCCATCCGGTGCATGTGACGTGTTCCCCATCCCCAGAAGGAAGGGGCTTCACCCGTGGAGGAACATCAAGCATCGTAATTCAGCAAAACCAGGTCAACCAATACCCTGACACGACCCATGGGACTGCCATAGATGCCGATCAATTGACCCCCCCAAAAGAACACCCCTGGCCTGATCGGCAGTTCTATGCCAATCCCATGGGTCGTGTCAACCAATAAGGTCCAGTTCATTAAACCGTTGCTCCGTCGCTCCGCTGCTTCGCTTCACGCGTTCGTCGTCGTCCGCCTTGGCAGTCCATCCGCTTGGTCGAAAGCCCCTCGCTGCGTTCCACCAGCAACATGGACACGCCGCGCATGCCAGCGGCACCCGTGCGCACCGCGCAGGTGAAGTAGTCCGAGAAGATCCCGTTGGTGATCCACCTGGGTTGGCCGCTGTCCCGACTAGACTGTCTACCCTGACCCTCTGAAGGCGCTACCCCACTCCCCACCCCACTTGCTTTTAGCCCTAAGAATGCAGCATACCCCTGAGGTACGGTGAGGACGGATACACTGTAATTGTAGCTTTGGAGGGTCCAGTTGTACCTTCGGAGAAAATACATGGATCCCTTACAGCATTTCGGGAAGTGGGTGACTGGTGCCTTCTTCGAATGCAGCCAGCACCCACAAGTCATGGAGGTTCCCACACCTGGAACTCAGAACTCCTCCAACGTCACGATGACTCACGACAGGAACCGTCCAACTCGAGGGTTCCGGTGGTGACCGGTCACCTTCGGTGAGGCCGGAGGCGCTTCTTGTTGCCATTGACGATGTAGAAATCCCCCTCCTTGGTGGCCGTGCACTTCAGCGCCGCCACGTCACTGCCAGCATTTGGCTCCTGAGCACGTGTGCAGCTGTGCTGGAGTGGTGTGCTGATTCTGGTGGTCTCATGTGTGGTTCTTGACCGTGGACCGTTTCTTTGTGGTCTTCCTTTGTTTTTGGTGCAATGGATAATGAACTCCCTCTCAAGATTCCGACATCCTATCCATGACAGCAACATGAAGCAACTGATATGTGGGGCAATGGCCCCCAGGGGCCCACCTCCCAGCGCATACCAGGTGGACTGGTAGAGCGCAAAAACACCCCTTAGTTCGGAACAGCCCTGTGTCAAACCGACGTTCGAACCACATGGAACAGCAAACTGCCCGGAGGGCCTGCAGCATTGAACACTTGACCTGCCTGACCGGGAAGTCCCTATTTAGGGTTTTCCTACTTACTCCGACGTCGCCTGTGAGTCTCTGTGCGCCCCTGACTCTCTCGCTCACCAATACCCGTGTTCACCAGCTTCATGTCCCTCATTCCCTCGGCTTCATCCACCTCCTACGCCCTAGGCTCTGTGATGTTCAAGGAGATGATCTTCTTCCCCATGAGGCCTAGGCGCGTGCCGCGCGCGCAGCGTCTCTTCCAGTCGTCCGAGCCCAAGTCCGGCTGAACCGATTGGTGGCCAGCCGAAGACCAAAACGCTGGAAGCATGTGGGGTGTGTATCAAAATAGGAAGACCTCCCAGTTCGACGCCTTGGAAGAAGGAAAGCAGAAAGACAAATCACACAAACATTGGTTCCGGGACTCCTTATTGAAACTGCATACCCAAATTAACCCACAGTGGCTGTGGTGGTTGACATGCGTTTAAATATGTTTAAATAGCCATCGAGTGGATCCAAGTGGTAAGCTGTTTACGGCTGCGCCGGTTTCTGCTTCTCAGTCATGTCATGCCATGTCTTTCCTCTGAGAACGCTGGTTGCCATATACTATTGGCAGTATGAGAGTGCGATGGAAACACACCAAGTCGAACACAAATTCAACCAAATTTGATCAAATTTGCGTAAATCCTGTTGTCGTGTGACGCGGGTCGGTGGATAGCAACCCACTGATGCATGCAACTGCAAACCTAGACCTGAAACGAACAACTTTTGCCAATTGGATCATTCATGATCATTCATGGTCACGCCATGTTACACTCACTCCACGCCCTTCCCATTTACAGCCGCTCCCCGAAACGAAACTCCCGAACCCAACCTCCCCCACCCTGGCGAAATGCGCCGAAGAAAAAGCACTCCAAAGTCCAAGCTGTGTGGCAATCAGGTGCCACTCGCTTCTTCATCTCATCACTTCCAAAGTTCAGCACTGGCGGCAATCCGATCTGCAAACCCTCAATGAGGCCCCACAACACGCCGCCGCTGCCGCACCTGCAAGCAGCAAGTCATGGAGTTCCACAAGCTATTGGGATAGTCAGTTTCTTCAACCTCTGCCAAACACTACAGTATGTCTTGGTGAGGCAATGTTTCCCCGGAGCGAGAGAGGGAGCGACTCTTGCCCCAGTAGCTAAAGGGTCAAGCTTCTGTGTCATGCTTAGAACTATGTTCTCATCAGCCCAGGCTGCCCCGGAGCAATCAACGTCCGGATTGGATCTCTCGAACAACGTCCGGAGCCACTCGACGGCTCCACCTGGCAAGCTCGTCTACGAAGATCAACTCATGGAAATAGTCCAAGCCTCGGATCCGATCAGATCGAAGGCCAATACGGAGGACCCCACGCTATGCCAGGAAAGGTCCAAAAAAGCTCCGAACATCATCCCATCCCAGTAGGTGAACCAGGACAAGGGCAGCAGATGGGCAGCAGCCTAGGCAGAACTAGCCGAACACATTGATGAGCTTTCCGACAGCAAATGTTGAGCCTTGAAGGGCATCCCCGATGCACTCCCCAACTAGGAGTAGATAGACATATCTATAGGCACCTTGGCCACCACATCACTGACTCCCTCAGTTTGTGTGGAGAAAAAAGATGATAGAGGTTAACCTTTTCCCATCTGTTCCACATTTCGTGGGGAAACCAACTTTAACCAATCCCCAAAAGAAGGTTTGGCAGGGGTAGGATCCCGAAGGAAAGGCCTCCAAGAGGCCCTCGGGTGCATCGTAGGGCACCAAGTCGAAAGCACCCGAGTGTGCGCCCACCACGATCGGCAGCAAGCCTGCCTGGTGCCAGGCAAGCCAGCGAACATAGGTGAACATCTCTCTCTTCTCCCTTTTCTTGATCATTGGATCCCAGATTTGGACCATATGTTGCATTTTGTGTCTTTATAGGATTGGAGTCATCCAACCAAGTAAATCGGGTTCTTGTTCAAGATTCAAGACATTCACAAGCAACCTCACAAATGGCGCCTCGCTTCCACGGGCACGTGGAGAGAAAAAACGCGCGCCTCCGCACACTGGATATACGTCTCCTTGGGTACAGCCTTGTTCACCTGACGCTGGCTGCTTCGAGCGGAAAAACCCACGTCTGAACTCAGCCCGAGGGCACGGTTCTTCAGGCGTTGCTTCATCCAACCCTTGTCATGCTTGTCTCATGCTTGTCTCATGCGACCAGTAAACACGTGACAAACCTTGACATGTCTTGATCGACATGTCTTGTCCTCACCTCCCACTGGCTCACGTAGGGGATGATGTGTTCCTCCACGAAGTCACGGCACCTCTTGCGCCAAGCCTTGTGGGTCTCCTGGAGATCTGAGGCGCATGAGTCTTGGATGAACGAACATGGGTCTTCCATGGTCTTCCATCAGCAGATGGATGATCTACTTAGCACAAAAACACCTGGACCTTCAAACGACCCCAACGCCCTAAGTCCGTGAAAAAAAAAAACACGCCGTAAGTCCAAACTCAAATGCCGTGCCGGTAGGGGGGTGCAAGCATGTGCTCAAAATCCATGGACGGCAAATTGTTAGATATAGTATGTTGGATGTGTTATGCCTTTCCTTTGACCATGCTTGCACGTGAAGTTTGGAACAGAATCAGGGATCCAGCCGAACAACTTATCCATCAAACAGTAGTTTTGGACTGCCCTTTCACCAAGAAACATTGCAGGGTGGAAACAAACTTAAATCACAAATGTCGCAGTTTCTGACATTCCTGAGAAGAAACTCTGAACTCTGAACATTTCTGAGAAGAAATTCGGACATGGACCCACCCGGTCCTCAGGTACAACAGGCCTTTCGGGTTGACATTAAAAGCATCATGTCAAGGTAAGAGAACTGCTGTGGCCATGACTCAACTACGCAAGAAGGAACATTGGAACTGAGCGGATCTGTTGCAATCGAATTGCATCTTAATCGGTTTTCATCGGGTGTACTCCGCCTTCTTCCCCCCACTGGTGACGCAAGCAACATAAGCTACGTCTCATGTGAAGTGATGAGCGGTTTTGGTGCCATGTGTTTCTGTGATGCGAAGTGATGCGAAGTGTGCTGTAAGTGTGAGCTTTGCAATGCCCTAGGGCTCCAAGGACCTTCTTAGAAGGTGGGACTGGGGTGGGATTAGAGGGTCCAAATACCTTCTAAGGAGGTACTTGGAGCCCTAGGGATGTGTTTTCTGTGAATTGAAACGTATGTTTTGCCATGGGGCAACATGTGACGTAGGCAATCTCTTCGTGATGTGAAGAGACTTGAGGGAGGAGGGGGTGAACGAAAGGTAGCAGGCAATCACAAGTAACCCTGGTAGAAGTCCATGACGGCGTGAACCGGCGCAGGGGGGATTTGATCCAGGGGCCGGGGCCCCCCCCCCCCGAGAACAGAATCAACTCTTACAGGACCAAACTCAATGCACAATCCCAACTCCTGATTGTAATACATTTTTGCTAAAGCAAGGAGAACTCAGGTAGCTCAAGCTACCTTTCGTGATTTGGCGCGATGAGCCAGGTGCTGTGCTGCGGTGGTCGCCTGTGTGTGGTCTCCAGCTCCCGGCAGCCGGACAACGAACAAATAGAACTGTATGCCATATTTATGCTTAACAGTTTAACACCAGTTCTCCTGTATCCTGACCAGAACTGTAAAAGCCCAAAGAACCCCAGCACTCCTTGTAGTAGGCGCTGTGGTAGGCGCGGTCATACCAGTTGGGGTCGCCATAAGGGTTTCCCTGGCCGAAGCTCATGATGAGGAGGTCGAATGGAGGTCTTTGTTGCGGCACAGGCGAGTGGGCGAGGGACACTTGAACCCAAAGGCAGCGACGTGGCAGCGACAGATCTTCGGAGCACCGACGGCGCAAATGGGTGCCGACTTGACGGCCGAGAGTGATTCAACAGCGAAAAGCAGGGAATCAAGGACCCTCAAAGCCCTCAGCTTTGAGGGTCCTTAGATTCTTGCGACATACGCGATATATGTTTCTCATATCCAAATAGGTCCGTGACAGGGAGAGGCTGATGTAAACGATTTTGAAGTTGTTCTTTTGAACACGCCCTGCCAGCTGCATCCAACTATAACTACTCCCCCGCGCAAACTCGCACACGACTTGGGCATGGGAGTTGCAAAGACATCAAATGCAAATGGACATACTGTAACAGAAAACTGCCTCCACAAAGGACTTTGTGGACTGGTGGACTGAATCGACCGAAGTTCTTTTCCGTGGATCGCGGCGATCGCCTGTGGTCTCTTGGCGCATCTACGCCGTGCGTGTGCAGGCGTGTGCGGGGACTTTGATGTAAGAAGCGGCACAGTTGGCAGTGGGTCAAAAGCGGGGGATCCTCTTGACCAAACATGAACGGATTCCCCCATTTTCGGGATATCAACCGAACCCATGCTTTGGTGGAGGAGGCCGAGTTCCTCACAGCCATAATATGTTCCAGAATACAGTATGTTCCATCTTCTTTGATGTTCTTGATCGAATTTCTAGGGCTGACTTCTGAGGGCCATCCAATTCGTCCAAAACAACGACGAACGTGATGTCCCAAGTCATCAAGTCTGAACCAAAACCCTCGGCACTCCATAAACCCCGAATGGCCTAGGCTGAAGACTGAGAAGGGTCGGTGCTGCTCCTGCAAACGACCCAAAACCATCGCGCAGTCGCAGGGGATCAATTGGTCAGTCCAAGCGGGCAAGATCTGTGATCTAGGGCTTTTAGAGCTTAATAGCCACCTTGACAAGGTTTGGGGACCTATCTTTCAGCTATATATTGAACCTATAATTGACCTTTCCCAGAATCAGGCTGATTCACCTTGGTTGATTGGTCCATGTCACCTGGGCATTTGTGCGTCAGAACCAGCAATAGTTGAGCAGGATTCCAACTCAATTCTGCATCCAGTTGCGACTCCGATCCGTTCTCAAACAAAGTTCCTCCCGAAGATCCAGCAAACCAAAGAAGCTGCGCACCATTTGTGTTGGCCCTGTCAATTGGGGAAGGAAGTTCTCGTATAGTTTCAACATGTTTCAACAACATCCGGCTTCTGTCAATTTGAACAGCCACACCGTTTTTGGCGCCGAGTTTGCACCTTCTCAACAGGTTCAGGGCATAGTGCCACGCTGCTTCCGGAGTCGCATCACGGTATCCCAGACATGACCCGTTGGGGACTGCCATAGGACTGCCTATACATCCACCCCAGGCCTGATCGGCATATATAAACCATCCCAATGTAGGCATATATATGGCAGTCCCATGGAGTGTCTGGGTATAGACATCAACATGGCAAGCCAAGGACCTGCCGATGCCGATGCCCATCTTTCGTATCGATCGAACCGAGCTGATTCCCATCCAAAGCCTCTGCCCGGCCCGCGCGTTTTTCCCACCCGCTCCGGGCCCAAGGCATAACCGGCGAGGCCCAGGAAGTTGAAGTTGAAGCTCTGCAGAAAGGTGCCACACAGGACCAACCTGAGCTGATCAGTCGATTTCGATCTTCACCCCAACCAAAGCCGAGCCCAGTGAAGCGTCAACACCGAGCCCATCTCGACACAGAGACCTCGCCCTCGCCCTGTCCGCACATGCGCATCCGTGCCTTGGAGATTTTGGGAGCCTTTTTTGACAGCCTTTTGGGTGGGAATGGGAAATCATTTCTCAAAGGTCTGACCTATAAAACTACTTTACCTGGATTGGTTTTCTTATGTTGTCTTTATAGATGACAATGTGTGAAGCCTTAGAGTCTATAGGCCCTTGACTGTAGGATGCCTGACCGTTGAATAAATACCTTTGGATACCTTTGGCACATGTCAGCAGATGCCTTGTCATTATTTCACATTCTCCACTTGCTTTCACCCAAAAAAACATCAAAAACCAAGGCAATTTCAATAAGATGTCCAGGTACATCCAAGTCCCAAGTCCCACCAATCCAGCTTGGAAGTGCCACCGCGAAGCAGAAGCGACACACTGATGGCGACCGTTGGGCCATGTACATCGGCTAAGTTGTTGTGCTCGAGCTTGTAGCACAACCGGGTCTTCTCGAGTACCTCGAGCAGTTCTGAACTGCCAGGACGGCTGGAAGGTTCGACTCGCGGGAACGGGACGTTTTTTGTTTTCCTCCCTGAAGGGGCGGGTCCGGCCATGCCATTTCTTAGAAGTTGATATTATAGGCCGGCTATGTCAGTCATCTGCGCTCTCAGTTCACCACAGCAAACTCACCCAGTCAAGGTGCATCGTCCTCCACCGCAAACTCACCCAGCTTGTGCGCATAGCGGTGGCAAGCTGTGGTGACATGGCCGCACACCAGGGACATGAAGGTGGCGATGAGGAAGGTGCTTAGCCAAGCGCATAAACCGAGCGGACGAGCCGGTAGGTTCTGAAGTCACCTTGCCATCAATGGTTCACTCCAAATTAGCATCCAACAGGTCTCCGAAATGGTGGCTGAAATGGAGGCTCGGAGACTCTCCAGTGGTACCTGTAGAGTCAGATGCTAGTCTTTTCAAATCTTCCCCCTCATTTCTTTGAGGACATCTTTTTCACAGCCACCCCTCCCAATTCACCGCCCAGTGACTAGAAGCCAAACATGGCGTCGACCTGCACGCCGAAGGTCGCGGAATCGCCAGACTCGCGAAAGATGTCCTGCAGAATTCCCGGGCCGTCGGGCGCCTCGGTGGAGGCGGAAGGATGATCAGGGTTCGGAGGTAGTTCTGGAGTGTAAACCAATCGCAAGAAGTGGATGTTCTGCAAGAAGGTCTAAACAGTTTGAGACAATTTGAGATGTTGGTACTGGAGTGCTGCACTTGTCTTTATCTGTCTTGCTGTGAGCATCTTTGGGCTGTTATGAATGTTATATATTATGAAAATATGAAGATCATCTATATATTTCTCTGCACCAACAGGTGCCATCTGGACCATTCAAGCCAAGCAGCGCTGAGATCAAACTTAAAGGCAACCATGAACAGGATCATGACAAACCTCGTCACAACTCGTGTGCAAGCATGCTTTTGGCCACCAGAGACCCATAGCCATTCAGCTGGTTGGAACACATTTCCCCTTGGCACGGAGATTGATGCGATTTCCTTTGCCAGGCGGGGCTATGTTGGCCTAATGAATTGGGAACTGAGTTGAAATCACTTTTGAATTCGGATACCGTGCGGACACGCACATAGCGAGATGAGTTGTCGACGAAGACTCAAGCACCAAAGCCTCGTCTCAATCACATCAATACCCGCTTCCATCCCGCCATTCCGGCTCCGTGTATTCCAATCTACCAAGCATTGATTGCTGCAACCACCTGATTTTCAAGAATGCAGCCCATCGCAAGAGCATCCTCCGGAAGCTTCTCCACATGGAAAATCCTGCCAATATAGCCCCATGGTGGGGTAGCCGCCTATAGACCCTATACCCTGAGGCCCTGGGTCGACTAATCCCAAGTATACCTATTAATAAACACTCCCAATTTTTAAAAAAGCACAACGTCCGAAGCCCTAAATTCGGCTTATATTTGTTTTCAACTTCCCGCCCTTTGAAGCCGCTACTAAACTACCAACATGGTCGATTTTGGGGGTAGTTTTTTTAAATTAGGTTCCCCCAAAACTCCCTCGTGACACGCCGCGTTTACACCAGCCAGTTTTCCTTCCTCCAATGGCACGGACTCACGCAAACGCACTTGCCTCCGAGGTCGTGCAAAACCGCATGGCACAGCGACATCACCTTTCGAAAGCTTTGGTTGTTAGTCTACTGAAGAATCAGTATTCTAATAAAGGTTTTAGGGGAAAAGGAAGACCCTTCGATCTGGAAGTTTTTTAATTTTTGATACGCGTTTAATAAAGGATTTTATATAAAACTTTTCTGGATGACTTTTAGGTTTTGAAGCTCTTCCCAGGCGACCCTATTTTGGACCCCCCGATTTCAGGGACCCCCTATTAGAAAAAATGCGACCGAGTTTCTCTTACTAGGGAGGGGGGGGGGCCCTGTGTTTATTAATAGGTGGAAGGGATAAAAACCCGTCTGCTCTGTGGGAGCCCTGGAAAATCCCCCGTGGGCAGCAAGGCACGTATCCACCAAAGACCACTTGCCGAAGGCGTCCAGGAAGTTCAGCAAGCCCTGGACGAAGTCTGAATCGATCAAAGACCGATCACCGATCGAAAGAAAGAAAGAGAAGGATCAAAGCGGCACCTGAATGAACCAAACCAAGGAAACACCATGAATAAGCCAAGCCAACCAATTAAAATAGCTAAAATCAAGAGTGATAGTGATTGATTTCTGGAACCGTTTAACTAAAGCTTTCGATCTAGGGCTTTGTCATGCTTTGTCCATCTCACTCCCGGTCCAAACGAACGTGGAAGTTTGTTCCTGCGAGTTTCTCGGCCTTTCAACGCTTGTTCATCGGTGCGCCTGACGTTTGGCCACACTGAGCCGTGAGGGTGGAGTAAACCAGCACATCATCCTAAGTGAAAAGAAACCATCCGAAGCGCCCCACCAATAAATCTATAAGGCGTTTTTTGGGGGGGCGAATCATACCAACATATACGGCGTAAAGGAACCGGATGAGGTCGACGATGCCCATCATCGTTTGGGGTCACTGGACGGCTTGTAGGCCACACCGGTTTGTGTTTTACACTATCGCGGCATCGAAGAAGGGATGTATCAATCCAAACGATTTCAAACGTCTTCTGCCACACCTCAACAAGCCCGAAGTGGGGCACTCCAAACACCTTCGCCAGCCCTGGGCGGTGTCCGTGCCAAGTAACATGAGCATGGGCTTGATATATGGCCAAAGTCCACTGAAGCAAATGATGAGCAACCCAAGAGCATAGACCTTTCCTGTGAAGGCCGGCTCTCCAACGGACATTGATGCCCACACCGGTCCAAGCTCATTCACCGTGGGCCCCCAGCATCCCAAAGCCATGTCATGTGGTGCATGGATCCTGAAAATTGACCCATGGAAGGCCCTTTTCCTCTACAACCATCTACAACCTGGTGGCTTTGGGGGTCCAATCTGCAGGGAAGTGGTTTTTTGGGGTGCATGGAAGGATACGCGAGCGCCTACGCCGTAGCCTACGCGAGTGTATTCCAGTTTGAGGGCTTTGTCGAGGCATCTAGGCGGTCGACTACGCGAGCACGATGACTTCACGGATCAAATGCAAAAGATCAAAAAGAAGACGAGTCTGACCTTCTTGAACGCTGACCTTCGGAAGATGTAGTACTGGAATCAGCTTCTTGGTACAATTGTGTGGGAGCTCTGGCCTCAGAACTGGCCACTTGGTAGTACCAATGTAGTACGCGGAAGCAGCTTCTGGGAGCTGTCGCCTCACAACTAGCCACTTGGTAGTACAAATGCAGTGCGGGAAGCAGCTTCTGGAAGCCTCAGAACTGGCCACTTTGTAGTACAAATGTAGTACGCGGAAGCAGCTTCTAGGACCTCTTGATACTGAGAAAGCTCTTTGCGGTACTTGGGCGTGAAGTCGTGCCATGTCTTCACGGCGCGACTCATACAAACAGAAACGAAAATGACTACATGCTAATTGTTAATGTTTGTTTGGTTGCTTAAACGGCTCAGATGGATTATGCAAACCAGAAACACAGCAATGGGCCAAACCCTTCCAGACCAAGTCGCGGCCTACACGAGCATCTACGCGAGGCCTACGCGGGTTTGCCTGCCTCCTGTCACACTTTTCTCTACAGCTGTACAGGTACTGAAGAAACATCCATGATCCGTTGTTCTTTCCAGCATGTCTTAAAGGTTATTGGACTCATTCCAAGTTGCAACTCACAACTACACACCTACGCGAGACACTGCTATGCTTTCCTGCGGTTGCCTACGCAAACTTCCCCCACCCCCGCAAGCAGAACAGCCTACGCAGCATCAAGAGCAGTTCCACTATGTTGTATAAACTCCTTAAATAGACAAAAACAAAACGCTACTGATACTCAGGGGAGTACTCAGCACAGTCATGCTTGTCCTAGAAGGGCCGTGTCCGATCCCAAACTCAGCTGCTCCGGTGAAAAGCCCAGGACGCAAAGAACGAACCAATGAAAGCCAAATCAGCAAGTCGTCTGAGGCATCGATCATCGAACACATCCTTTGTCCCTGCGTGTGTGGTTGATCTACCACATTGGCTCACTGAATCTAACCAAACATAGATCCAATCAGATCAACACCGCAAACCAAAAACGAAAGAAACAAGTAATTGAGATCTTCGTTCGCACAACAAGTTTGTTCAACCATGTTCCAATCCAAAGAAACCAAACATCCGCACATCCGTCTCATTTCTTCCGCAAAAACCATCAAACCTTTCGCGCCCAAGACTCCATCGAACATGTCCTTGATGCTCGAGATGAGCGAGAAGCCAAAGACCGGCGGGATCGTTGCCACGCTCTGGCCGTTCGCCGTGACCACCAGCTGCGGAGCGGGGATGAATTGAGACGAAGAAGCACGACAGCGGACAATGGGCCACCATCTGCGAGGACATGCACTGGCACAGCCAAGGGGCCCAAAATTGGCAGTTCTGGGTGTTTAGAGAACCCTTTATGTAAAAAAACACACCAAATCTGAAAAAACAAAACAAAAAGTGGTGGATATGCCATTTGATAAAGCTTTAGTCAAAGGCCAACTATGTGTGATCGACTATATATCTTTTAGACTTTTAGGTGATTGAGATCCAAACGGTGCCAACCACACCGCGTCCCCGTCCGTCACACCGCGTCCCACACCGCCCAGCAGACGGGCCCCCCCCGCCCGGACGACCGCTCCGATGCCCGAGTTGCTGGACAGAAACCTGCGGTGGAAGCGCCATGCCGGGCATAGTGGTGGTGATTTCTGGCAGGTGAAGGGTCTGAAGAACCGGCGACATGTAGACGAGGGACCGGCTAGGACCTGGGTATGAAATATAGCACTGGAAAAATGGCATCCGGACTAGCAACATCGGACTAGCAATTTATACCAATTTGATGCAACGTGTGTAGGTTTCGGCACGAAGCTTTGAACACACTTCAATCCTGATGGGATTCACGCGCCGCTGACTGCGGTCAGCTTGTGTGACTGGGATCAGTCATCAAGTTGAGAAGGCAGGGCGACAACGAAGCCGCAGCTGATCACATCTCACCAAAAGCCAATCACCCACACAGCGTTCCCCGTACATGGACGTGGGACGTTCCTTTCAATGCCGGCGGAACATGCCGAGTGAACAAACGATCAACCCGAATCAACCCCAACCCTTTTTTTGTTGCAAATGTTGAGCAGGTCCAGTGCTGTTGAACCCACGCTTTGAGCACGAGATGGCTGGTTGGGGTTCAAAGGTCGGCCATGTCTCGCACCCACGAGGCCAAGTCGAAGGAGGTCATGGGCTTCCGCAGCCCAGGAGCAGACACATCGTAGACAGCATGAAAAGGGGCAATCCCCAACCTGGGTGGCATTTCTTGAGCCAGGGATTCTGACATTGTTCCAGCTATAGGGCGGACTCCTGGGCACTTTGGGTAAGCTGGTGCAGGATGTGCAGGGCTGGGTTTAGCAAGACGAAATCCGTGGAATTGAGATGAATTGAGGCGACGTTTCTGTACTGGTCACTGGTTCTCACATGCTCAACGCACATCACACCTTTAATGTATGCAGACTGTTGATTCATCAACCCCCCCATATGAATTTGGCGTTTCAATCCCAATGCGAAAAGGTTTTATTCATCAAGAGTCTACCCTATAGGGGTCCAGTCGTACCGAACCTCAGAAGGCGTACCTTCTCAGGTTCTGTACGACTGGACCTGGCAGCTACATGACGTCAGTGTCTCCGCAGTGTCTCCCTTACCTGGATCCCTACGTTCAGGCGACCCTTCAATCGACCCTTCAGGTCCTTCCTTGTTCCATGTCGACTCCGATGTCCGATCGACTCGAGAGGCCGGACATCGGCGTGGCGGCCGGGCAGCGGCTGGGCTGCTACGGGGTCATATATATCCCAACTCTAAGGGTCATAATCCCATGAATTACAGGCAACAGTGGCAGATGATGGTTAACTAACCCCCCAAAATCCATCCCTTTCCCAAAAATCGCTTCTCATCTTTAATATCCCCATTGCTACCGACTACCGAGGTTCAACCCCTCATGTTTTCTAGAAATTGGTTATATAAAATGACTTTTCACTCACCAAAGGTCTTCATCTAAAAAGTGGACAAAGAAAACTGAAAACCAATATCTGTCGTGACTGGCTAATTTGACTGTGCGAAGAGTTCATCGGTGTCATCCATTTGATTTAAGACCCAGTTTAGATAACCCTTAAACATCCTTAAACTAACTGAGTCAAATTTTCCATGGCTTTTCCGTGGTCGACCACACGAACGGCATACTGGGACACACCCTTCGTCACTGTGGACAGCCCAAGCGTCGGAAGGCCGGCGAAATGCGCGGGTGGAAGGCAAGGCTGGTGTGCTCCGCGGGGCTGTCTGGTCGACCAGGCCCGGCGTGGCGAGGCCGACATTCAAACGTGGACGACCTGGTCAAACTGTCCTATACCAGCACCTTCCAACAGGTCTCCTCTGGAGGCTTTTGACTTTTTGTAGACTTAAAAGTGGAAGGTGGTGACCTGTTGGAAAGTGCTGGTATTGACTGATCATTCGTCACCTAATTAACAGTTCCATTGACTCAGAAACGTGCTGTGCTGCGCCATGCTGCGCCCTGACTCTTCCCCCGAACATAATCTTCTTCGCTTTCTGAACACAGCATGTCACCCATCACCCAGCGATTCCCAAATGCCGCTGCGTAGAACCTTTCCTCCCTAGGGCTCCAACTACCTTCTGAGAAGTTGGTTGGGGTAGGTGCGAGGGGGGTCTAACAACTACCTTCTGAGGAGGAGGTACGACGCTATTAGGTGGAGGCCATCACAAGTAGGTTGGAGGCCATCGCTACCAGTAAGAAGCTAGGGTGGAGGCCATGACTACTATAGGAGCAAGGACGCTACTAGGGTGTAGGGTCCCTCCAGTCGGGGCGCAATACACCGGAGGATCCAGTGCCGCCCAGTCTTTCTGCCGCCCCGTCTCAACCTGCACGGAACAGTTCCGTCTGTACCTGGAAGTCCGGTCTCCACCATGAGGGAGGTGGGATTCGTATTCGAGGATCCAGTGCCGCTGGTGGTGCTGATCACCGAGTTGGCCTCTGAGTGTGTTGACACCACCGCCCGCGAGAGGAGGAGGAGGAGGAGGAGGAGGAGGAGGAGGAGGAGGAGGAGGAGGAGGAGGAGGCGAACAAGGTCCGCAGCGGACGGGCATTCTCGGGGTCTGGAATGGCAATCCCATGACTTGCAGTAGATGAGGATCTCGGTCAATTTCGATCAGGACCCTGCTTTTGAATTGGTTTGCTATGAACTGGAGATGAGTTTCTTCGAAGTTTCAGGAGAGCGAACGCGGGGAGTTTACGAACTTTGGCAACGGACTCGGTACTGTGACGCGCCGAGGTCATGTCTATATACAAAATAAATTGTCATGAGGAAGTGTGTTTAGTAGCCTCTGAAAGCATTGAAAGCCCACTCGGAGCCTATTCAATCCTGCATCCATGCTTATCATATGCCAATGATGCCATAACGCAGTCGCTTGCTAGGTGGGTGGTGGATGGATCGTGATGGCACAGCCAGTGCTTCAATTGTAGCTTCGATAGGCCGTGGCAAATGGTTGTGGGTCAAAACCCGGGAACCCTGGTTGACCATCGAAAATGAACAGCATGAACATGCATGAACTATGTCCCAGGCTCCCTGAGGATGGTTCATGTAGTGCTAAG